TTCGGGTGATTGTCAATTGCTGCTATGATGGCTTTGGTTGGTTGTTCTTTTTCACTGTACGGCCGCAGACACATTCTGACAGCACTTCAGACAGCAGCTTTGTGCCCCGCCAGCTGCTTGTTCCATGCCTACCATGGTGTTTTTGTACAGACAGCACTTCAGACAGCATTATGCTGTAGTCGGCAATCTTCCGTTTTGGTATAGAGTGGGACAGGGAGGGGGTGATGCTACTGTAGTCGAACGGTGGGACGGACGTGCAGTTCAGTTTTTGGGCACGCATACGGTGCTGCAGGGATTTTTAGGTGTACCTCTTCGGGCTCTTGGATACCTTTTTCTCGTTTTATGTGTGCGTGTTCTTTAGATCCTCAGATGGCTCTAGCACTTTCGTGACCACGGGCTGAGAGTCTTTTGCTAGATTTTGGCATTTGGCCACTGACATACGGTTTAATGTGAAGACAACAACAACAACAACAACAACAACAACAACATGGTTGTTTGTGCACAATACCGTGAACCGAACAAAACAAACTAGTGTAGCTACATAGTGCAGTTTTCCATGGCACTCACAATATAGTCGACGTGTCGTCATTGTACAGGGACAAGCTGCCCTACATGTGTCTGCCCCTGAAAGTCTAGACTAGTAGTATTGGTGGTAGAATGTAGACCAACATCTGCCTGCGCTCAGGGTTATTGCCTGTTGGTTGACACGTGACATACTCCCCACCCCCCGACCCTGTGATGGAAAAAAGCACGTTCATGTCCGCGAGTTATGTAAAACCGTTTACCGTCATGATAGCTTCGACTTCTAGCGAGACTCTTGCGCCGCTGCCCTGAATGCGTCCACACACCCAACATCGACCACGACGCTCCCCATATTATTTTCTGTCTGGTTGTCTCTCTCTCCCTCCCCCTCGTCTCTCTCTCTCTCTCTCTCTCTTTCCCCGTCACGCAGCTCATTGCGTCTGCCCACGAGATCTGGATAGCAAGGGAGCGAATGTTCCAGCTAGAATCGGAGGCTCAATCCATGCGCTCGAGTCCACCGCAAGTGGTCGAGAGAGCCGATCCAGCAGCGGTGGCCGAAGTCATGCGACTGCGCGACAAGGTAGCTGCTAGGGACGAACAGGCCAGACGAGCACAAAGAGCTGCTGCCGAAGCTCAAGAGGCGGTGGGCAGGGAATCGGCGATCAACCAGGTGATATTCTATATCACAATCGTGATTGCTTAATTCTTATTCGTGTTCTGTCGGAGTTTTGCTCACAAGTGCTGCACTTTGGCTGCACGATTTGCTTAGAGTATTTGAGTGCACCACATATTTGAAGCGAGCTGCTCCCGATTGGTGCGCGTGGGCCTGCTCTTGTTCTGGTATGCCTCACCTTGGGTTGCTCGTCTCGAAGATATACGTGACGTGTCCCAATGCCTCTATGTAGGAACACTATCAAAGAGCTACATAGTAGGTTCGAGGGATCAGCAGTCTCTCGGGCATGCCTTTTCCGCCTCCTGTACGAAATATCTAGGCCTGATAGCCTACAAGCAGTCCATCATTTGCCCCGTCTGTGCTCCACTCCACCTCTGCACATCGATTCAGGGTTTCCAGCGAGATGTCGACAATGCGCGGCATCGCCTTCTCACCGTCCAGGGCTCCCTCGCTGAGCTGTCAGAAGAAAATGCGGGGCTGAGGCGAGAGCTCGAGAGCGAGAGGATCAAGACTGTCTCCGGCTCACGGCGCTTGGCGGATGCCGTCGAACGCCAGGACAATGCTCTCGCGGAAGTCCGCCGTGATTCGGCGCAACTAAGGGAGCAACGTGACAGGCGAGTACAATTCCAGCATGTGTAGAGCCGCCACACAGGTGTTGTAAGGCAGGTGATGGCCACATGTGCTCACTGATGGTCTTTCACTTTACGGCCAACATGTGGTTTCATCAGAGATCGAGCCCCAGCAAAATGCCTACCAGGTTAGCTTCAACTTACCCGCGCCGTCGGGGTGCGCGCCCCATGCGATGGTGCTGAGCTTGATCTCCCCCAGGCCCCCAATTGCGTGATGCACTTCTGCCGCTGCAACGCCGAATGTTTGCTACTTGCGGCTTCGTAGGCTTGCTCAGGATTCGGCAATGCTCGGTATCAAGCTCCACCAGTTGAGAAAAAAGCAGGCAGCAGGTCGCCTCCTTCACGCGTTGGACCTAGCAAGGCATCGCTCGCTGGCCACGGCCTTACGAGCCTTGGTAGTTCGGGTCACGAACGACATCCACCTGAAAAAGGTACGACTGTTGTTTAGGCAGCGGAGCATACTTGCTATCCCGTGCAACGTGTCGCTTTCCTCGCGTCTTGGTGGAGGTATGCGGAGCCTGTGCTCCGAACCGAAATGCTGTTGTCGTTGTCGCTATTCGCAACACTGGAACAAGCTTAGGCTTCGCATGAGGTCACCGTCTTTCCCCGCCCTTCTTCGCCCCTCCCGCGTTCCCGCGGCTGACCGGATCATCTAGCGAACCCGTCAACAAGAAGAGCACGCCTCCGAAGTCGCATCCCTAGAGGCAGACGTACAGGGGGCAGAGACCCGGTGCAGGGACGCCCGACGCCGCCTTGACGCTCTTCGAGACACTCGGGAGACCGTATCCCGGCTGACTGTCAAGGCCTGTTGGCGACGTCATCAAGGTATGGTCATTGCGGGCGCTGCCGCGGAAGAGGAGAAACCAGGCGGTGACGCCTCGGCCCTTGTGGTGCGGTGGTGCTTTTGGGGCTGGGCAAGAGTCGCGCAAGGCGGGTGTACGGTCGTGGCAAAGAAGGCTCGGAGGGTGGAAGCGGAGAAAGAGCTGACCGGAGCCAGGGAGCTGTTGTTGGCTGCTGATGAGAACGCCCGACGCGCCGAGGCTGAGCACAATCAACACCTGTAAGCTGGTATCCTTCCATGAAACAGATTTGAATGTACTCAAAACTGTTAAAAATGCTTGGAGACAACCAGATGGAGTTTGCGAGTCTAGCGCATGCTTTCAACTCAAAACATAGTCCCGGGCTCCTGGATGTAAATAATTAGACAGGCGTTGCTATCGACGTGTGGCGTTCTTGGGAGGGAAACATAAACGTTTGATAGACATTGCACGGGTCGTCCTTGAAGGGTATGTTCTTGCCGATGAACGTCACCCGGCGTATCGCAAGACTGCTCCGTCTGGCGTATGCCCCTCTATCATTGAAGTCCTTCGACTACACGTGTGGCCATGGGTAGTGACCAGCTTTCCACGAGTTTGTTGAACCCTTCCCCTTGTCGTTCGCGTCAAACGTACATCAGGGCAACGGTGGGAGCCCTGGCGGAACAGATCAAGCAGCGCACAGCTGAACTGGAAGTCGCGCGCACTGCTCTAGACGCCGCCAAAAGCACGGCGTCTTCGGCTAGGGGCCGCTGCATCCGCCTAGGTGCGGCACGCGTGCTCAAAGTCTTGGCACGGAATCGGCGCGACCGTCTTGCGCAGACCTTTTCTTGCTGGGTTGATGCTGGACGCGTGTTCCCCGTTGTCCCATCAAACGAAGAGGTCATCGCCTCCCTTGGTCCACAACAAGGCCGAAGAGCCGTCTCCGAGACATGTGCAGGACACAGGCAAGGGCTGGCACAACAACAAGGAGATGCTCCAGCAGAGTCACGTGATGGTTTTGGACCGCCAAAAGCCGACAGCACGACTCATCTTTGTGCTCTGTCAACCACTACTTCGGGCGGGAGGGGTGCACAGGGAGGGGCACACACGGCAGATATGGGCGAAGACAAGGGGTTCGTCGTGGCGTCGACAGAGGACGAAGGAGGCGGGGCTTATCTCGATGCGCTGCCCTCTGTCGCGGCGAGCAATGACCCGTCAAGAGACAACAGCAGAGATGCTCACACCAATGGCGTCAACGGTACGATGGCAAGCAACGGAAACACACCGGCACCACTCGATATCAGCTCGATTCCTTCGACCCCGGTGGCTGCTTCACACAAACGACCAAGCAACCAACACCAGGGCACACCAAGGTGTAGCTCCCTTTTCGTTGGCGGTTATCCTTCTCCTGGTAGACGATCCACCACGTCGCTCAGCACCGCTTCCAGCAAACCAGCTGCAGCCAAGTCTAACATCAGCGGTGCTTCCAATCCCGTCCCGGTCCCTGGTGGCAGCGGCTGGTCCGCGAACCCAGACCTCCCTCGCCTGGTGCTATCCTTGCGGGCAGCGGTCGGGGAGGAGCTTTATGCCGTCGGCGAGCGTCTCCTACGGTGCGTCGAGGCCGACCACCGCGAGATCCACGGCAAGTTGTACCATCCGGTCCCGATTACGCCGGCCGAACGCGAGCAGTTCCATGTTTGCCTAGAGGATGCCGCTCGGGGGCGACTGAGGCGTGCGGTCTTGACCTTCTTGCGAGTGCAGGAATCGCACCGCGCTGCTGCCGTCGAGAAGGACCGTGGCAATGTAGAGAAGACCCGACAAGGGCGACGAGTCAGGATGAACGGTTGGACATGTGGTGGTGGTGGCTGCGGTGGTAATGGTGGCGGATGCCTGCGTGGCGCGAGGCCAAAGAGCGCGCGAAACGCCGAGGAGGGACAAGATGAAATCTCTTCCTTGACCACTGGTCCCTTGTCAACTCCTTCGGAAAAAGCGAGAGCTGCCAGGTAAAACACTTTGAACCACCGCCGAAATCTTTTCAATTGTAGCAACCTTTGTAAACTTGTAGAACGCTGAAAGAGTTTACGTAGATAAGAGAGTCACTACCTGTATTAGTACCTGTATTAGAGCTGTGGGCGCTCGACCTGCTTCTAGCGAAATCCTAACCCTAACCCTAAAATCCTGACCCAACCCGCCCCGCTTCGCGCGACCGGGAAGCAGACACGAATTTAATCTAGTCCATGCCTTCGTTCGAGACTAAAAAATAGGCCATGGTTGTGCGTCCGCTCCACGGCTTTACACCAACGCATCCATTACATACCACTCGGGACTTGACCCCCTTCGTCCACTGTCAACCTTCGTCCACCATCAACCAAACACTCGTGTGATCGAAAAAACAAATCACTCTTTCCCTGTAACCCCAGAGTACTGCGAGATCGGCTCGTTCCACTTCTAGAAAACGCTGCCGACGCGTGGGGCCGCCATCGCCAGCCATGGCAAAATATGCCTCGCGCCGTTGGGAGGAGAGCAGCAACAGAGAGCGATACAAGTCGCTTTCAGCGGAGAACAACGGTCTCAACGAGGCAGCAAAACAACCCTCATCGCCTCCGGAGAGGCAACGGTGATGAGACGGGACTGTCGTCTCCTCGTCGTGGGAGGTTGTGCTGTCTAGACTCGGGGGCAGGGCCTCGGAAATTCTGGGAGACTGTGGCGGGCCCTAGGCTTGTCGAGGCCAGTTGGAACGTGGACATTAAGGTGGGCTGTACAGGTCGGCAAGTGCCGTGTAAGAGTATGAGACGAGGTATTTCGTGTGTTTCTCTGATTTGTACCACAAGTACGCAAAGAGGGAGCAATTCTTTGTTCGGGAAGTTAGTGTGTCCTTTGATGCGGTCTAAGACAGGCGCTAGCTTGATGAAGGCCAACGGATAGGCGCCAACCCCAGCGACAGGTCAAGGGGTTGTTCATGTTTACTCACCTCACTGACATTTGTCTTTCACAATGGCGTCTTTTCCCCCCCCTCTGGTGATGAAGGCGCTGGAACAACAACTGTGGGATCTCGCGATGCTCGTGAGGGGGCCAGATCTACGAGGCCATTGCGAGCGTCACCAAGGGTTGGCGCTAAACCGATGCGAGCTACTTCGAAGGACCCTCGATGTACGCGTCTTCGAGGTGCTGCTGTTGTACATGCGGACCCGACTGATCTGGGACGGCATCGACAACGATGATGATGACAATGACCACGACGGGAATGGGGGTGGTGGCGACTTCTACAACAACGACAGTGCCCGGCTCGACGTCGATGCTGGTCTAAAGTAGTGGTGATCAGCACTCGGCAATAATGAATGTTGGTTGCCGTTTGTTGTAGACCGAAAGCTGAGGAGACGATCTCGAACAACGTTGTTGGGTGAATTAGGCAAGCAAGGTTGCTCTCATCAAGTGCGACACTAGACTAGAGCAATAAAATATTTCGCACTACTGCTTGAATGGACCGCGTCTGTCTACAGGTTGTAGGCGCTGTCGAATACGCGTCATAATGTTTGATATTATCAGACCATCTTACCCACCCGCGGGGGAGCTTGACAAGTCCAAAATACAGCAGTACAACAAGTTGTAGAGCAAACGCCGATCATGATGGCGACATTCTGCTCGCCTCTGCTTCCGGCAATTAAATGAAAGTCTAGAGAGGAGACTCGATTGAGATTGAAAGGAATCTGCGCTATGTTCTGTGTACGAGTGTGTATCCGCGATATTGCCCACACGATTCAATATCGAAAGAATACTGCCGCGCTTGCACCACCATCAGCGAGCCAACAACCCCTCGCGAAAATACCGAGGGGGGAGGGGGAGAGTGCCGTCTCTCCACTCGCCACAATCAACAAAACCGAACCTTTGCAAAATGGTCGCCTATGTGTACTTTAGTACGTGTGTGTGCGGTTCGCTTTATGGTGTGTGCTTGGATCATGGTGCCTCGTGGCGCTATATGCATGTGAGAAAAACAACAGAACACAGGACTCGCGTCTCACGAATCGTTCTTTTTTTTTTTTTCGCGTGTTGTGTTGAATTGTCGAGCGAGTGTGGAGTTGTTGTTGTTGTTGTTGTTGTTGTTTCTCACATTAGCTCTGGATAGGCAGGGTATATGGATGGGCGTCACGGCGAGAAGGTATAGCCGGGATCGAGAAGAGAGCACATATGTCGTGATGATGGACATCGTCCTTTCTCGCACACCCGCAAAACCCACACCCACAGCCCGCCGCAAGACGGAAGTGCGAGGGGATGCATGATGGATAGTGTCAAATAAGGATGCTGCATGTCCCAGCGGCAAAGAGCCGATCACGGAAACGGGGAGGTTACGCCGCATTTCACCCTTTCCTGGCACACAGCGACGTGTGACTTATGGCCGTCAACCGGAGGAAATAGACGCGGAAGTTGGACGGTCCATCTCTCCAAGATAGCTGGGCGGGGTTCGGCTGAAGGTGGGCTTGGCTTTTCTTGTCGTATCAACCCCGTGCGTGGTCGAGGGGATTGGGGTTTGCGCATGGTGCTGGACTGAATCACTCACATGATATCAAACCAGCTCGAATTACTTACTACAATGGACACATTTGAGATTTTTTACAAAGTCTGGATGCATCGTCTCCTCCTCGATCGCAATGGTGTCATTCCTTTGGCGTGGTAGGTAAGTGTGCGGTAGACGCTTGGTGTGGGAGCGAACGTCGGAAGGCATTGCTCATGTTTACTTTCTCTTCTCTTCCTCGCCACGTGAGCCCATAGACATTTAAAAGACACATTTTTTTCATCCCCATTGTACACAACGAGCAAGCACATCCTCTCCCCGGCTTGGTTGTTTCGCAAGACGAACGCCCGGAAAAGCGTGCTCGGCTGAGGTTGGCGGACCTCCTCCCTTGACTCACAGGTTGCCAACTGGCAACAGCAGCAGCGGCCAGCGCAGCTCGGCTGGACGCACCAACCAGTCAGTAACTAAGGCGGAAGCATCAAGCCGTCAGTGAAGCAGCTGCGGCTTCCACCATGTATATATACAATGCCTTCCTGTTTTGAAACAAAAACTGTAACTACCCGCCGCCTCTCAACATGCTGTGTTGCGATTGATTCCCCGTTACACTGGTGGACGACGGCGCGTACGTCGCCTCCCCCATTTTCTGTTGTTGACCGTGCGATTTGTTTCGGCTGGGGGGTATTCTTACAAATACTCGCCTCTTGTTATCTCCAGTGGAGACAGAGACGAATCTCTGCGCGTTCGAGGGGTGCGGTTGATTTAGACTTTCGAAGGACAGGCGGGGGCTCGAGGTCACCCGCCGGTAACAGACGTCGAAAAATGTCAACAAGATGCCCGTGAAAGCACTGCTGTGGAGCACAGCAGTGCAACTCTTCTAGCAAAAATAAGCAGGTGCGTTCAATTCAGGTCGTGCTGCTGCCGGTAGAGGCTCTACGATAATACATACGTTCGGACCAGCTGATTCGGATCTCACACACACGTTGATCGGTTTCCGAGGGCTCTTTTCTCGAACGGTCGATGTGGTACCTGTTATTTCTTTGTATCATTTTGTTTTGTTTCCCCGCGGCGTCGTATGTGCCGGGTTTTGAGACCACGGGCTGGGCTCCCTATTTTTTGTGTAGACAATAGAGCTAATGTGAGAAATAACAACAACAACAATAACAACCCCTTGATGTCCAACCTTTGTTTCCCAAGCGTGCTCGCCCACAAGCGCGCTTGTGACGGGTGAGTTTGCATCCCACACTCAGTACCCGTTATGCAACTACACATATGCAAACGGCAGTGCTTGGTGACTACCGTCCGGAGTTGGTTTCTTTGCGTCGGAGAACACGGCAGGCGCGGTTAAAAGGCGGATCAGGCGACATCGACAGCAGCAGGCCAGAAAAACGGCGCGATTCCGTCAACAACCAAACAACACCTTTCCATCTGCCATCAACCATCGTTGCCCAGGCAAGGATTTAGTTGACGAAACCTGCAAGAACAATGGATACTTCCCCCTGCTTGAGTGACACATATTCTAAGAAATGGCACATAGTTGCAAGGCTCATTCCTGTGCCCGCAGTAAAACCACTCCATCCTAGCCAACCAACAACCGCCCGTGCGTCCGAAGGTTGCTCGATCACCTCCGCAAGGCGCTGTTGCCCTGCGGCGAGGTGTGTGTGCGCGGAATTACCCCGCGTAAGCCTCGTCTCCGAACCGCTCAGAGTTCACACACCGCTTCCCGAACCTGAAAAAGAAACGGTGGGTGCAACCGACCTGCTGTCGTCCTCCATGTGCTTATTTTCATAATGGCATGTTGGCATCGACCCTGTTGACGACAGGCGTCGACCAAAAGAGGGCTAAATAGAGGGCTAATTTTTTATGCTCGTGTCTGTGCCCTTCTAATTTTTTGCGTACACGAATGTGGGCGCGGTCGTTGGCAGCCGGGTACGCCTCTGTCCCGCTATCGTGATCGAGCAGTTTTGGCACCCCCGCGCGATCGTTTCAGGCAACGCGTGCTTGTATATTTGTCGCACCCACGTGCGCCCCTATTTCTCCGATCCATGCTCCCAACTCCTCGATCCCCATGCGGACAGTATGCGCAAGCAAACAAACGCTTTTGGGAAGCACTATTGTAGTCGTCTTGTGCACAACTCTCCGCGATCCATGCGACGGTGAACATGTGAACAGCGGCGGCGGTACAGCAGTATGTAGTGCTGTAAACAGCCTTCGCGCGCGCACTTCGTACGACAAGCAACGAGGAACATACACACAGCATTCAGCGGTACCGCAGCAGGCTATAGTCGACGAACTATGCATATGAAGTACATGAAGTACGTACACAAAGCTGGAAACTGCGGCGAAGTACGTGTTGCTGTACCGTCGGTTGGTGACATACCACTCCACGCCCCCTGGAACGCTTTTCAAGCGTGATTTGTTCACGACGAAGAGCATGCACACATGAAACGATAAGGTTTTGGAAACCTCTAGACACAACGGTCCCAACGCCGCCATTTTCGGGACCGCCCGTGTCTTTGCTGTATAGAAATCGAGCTTTGAACATCGGTCCAGGGGGCCTCATATCTCACGTCACCCACCGCATACAGATGCCGCCCGCACTTAAGAACCTCTAGTTTCGGCCTAGGCTGGGGTTCCTATTTTGCTGATCCTTTTGTGGGCTACAAATGGCCGCTATATTAGGTTTTTGTGTGGGGTTCTGAACCGAGCTCACTAATGGTGCTCAAGTTCTTAGCTTCTGATTTTCTGCGAGTCTCAATTTCTGAACTGCGAAGTTCTCAAGTGTAGGCGCTATCTGTATATCGTTCAAAGTACAAGTACACCGCGGCGAAATGTTAGATTCCGTCAAACGTGGCTATATTAGCAAGGACGACGGGAAACGCCAAGGCGTGTGTAAACACACAGCATCGTCCCCACCGCTGCTGTACTGTACCTGTACTTTTTCTGTGTGCTGTGATGAAGTGGACACTTGTATTTGTCGATTTCAATCAAACAACCTTTTCTTATTGACATGGTAAGCAGCAACAGACAGCAGCAGTCGTAGTAGAAAAGGTGGCGGACCTGTCTCCGATTGAGCACATGCGATTCACCACAATGTAAATCTGTCACTGCAACAAAACGTTTGGGGAAGTAGACAAAAGTAAACGTGGGTTGCCCACCCGTTTTCTCGTACAAGATTGGGCACACTTGAAAACTTGCTTCGCGGAGACCACACGCGAGAGGACCGAGCCACTCAAGACCTCACTCTGATGCCCGGAAAGCAATGGCGAGGGCGCCCATGCACAGCCCCAACTTTTACTATTTTTTTACACCACGGCGGCTGGCCCACAAGGACACACCAGGGTTGTGCCCTATTTTGCCCGAAAAAATCCCAACGGGCATAACCCGTCGCCGTCGTCTCCTTTTCCAACCTCCTACTTTCGTCCGAGACGTAACTTCCGAAACGTATCGTACCCACTTTTGTCCACTTTCTGGACCTTGAAATATTCGGCCGTGCGGTGACGTGTGTATATGTGGGGCTTGATTCTCAGGGCCTGGAACTGGACAAAAAAGGGTACATTCGGATAAACATCGGTGAAATGTGATAAAAATAGACAAAAATAGGTATATGTCCGTGGGTAATTCCACCGGCATATTATCAAAATGCGGCAACCTTTTGAGGAAGCCTTGTGCGACGCGCCGATGTTTGGGCTGAAGACATGCCCGAAGGTTCGAAGCAGTAGCAGCATTTATGTTGATTCTGTGCATGGGCCTTGGCTGTGTTTGTCCAGGTATCGGTGTCGGAATGAGATTTTGGGTGATTCGGCCGTCTCGCGAGTTGTCTCCGCGAAGTATTTCGAGTACACATTTTTGTCCGATAAACTGGGGGGGATGCAGTACACCCACACTTTTTCCCAAGAACTTGACGTCGACGCTCGTCGTTTGGAGATGAGGAAGAAACCCACGTTGCGATGACACACCAAGTGCGGTCTACAGCTCTTTCTTACCAGCGACCCCACCCCATCCCATCCCACTGTCCGCTCTGACGGTAACAGCTCTTGTCAGCGACTCAACTCATCCCGTCTCACGGACCGGACCGTCTCACCGCCCGCTCTGACGGTAGTAACAAGACATCGTCGGCTCTGTTCGATCCCTTACATGCAAATACCACTCACGACGACGGTTGATCTGATTCTCTCGACAACGATCCCCCCCCACTCCGCCCTGTCCTCCGGTCCAGAAGAAACGGGGGGGGGGGCAAGGCCGAC